CTAAGTAAGATTAATAATTAGTATTTCAGAGATTGCGGAGTCTCCAGCTAGGCAAGAAATATAATTAGTAATTATAATGAGCTAGAGGTGCGAGAAACAGAAAAAGAATACAAAGAAATATAGCAAGAAGGTACTGGGGAGGCTACTACTCCTTAGTGGGAACGCCTCCTATATTTAAAGTTGTATTTGCTTCTTTTTTTATATCTTTTAAAAATTCATTTTCAACAATTAAAAAATTAATTTGTTGATTTTTTTTGTCCAGTTTTACAAATTCTAAATAAATGTACTATATAAGCATTTTTAAAATAAATAGATCTGATTTGTTATGATGAGTATAGAATTAAAACATTTTAAGCCTAATTATAACATATATGCATTGTTAAATTATCATTTTTGCTATTTTTAATATTATCATTATAATATTATCTTTCAAGATTAGTAGCTACATAATGTTTCTCATATTGTTTTTTATTTTTTTTTCAAAACTTTCATTATCATTTTTTAAAATTAGTATTTGTTTTTTAAAAATTTTTATAAACATCACAAAGATCTGATCCTGATAATTAAAATTAAAGATTTAATATTGTTTCATGTCAAAGTCATTTAAATGTATCATAAGACATTATTTTTTTATTTTTATTATGCTTAATATAAAAATCATTTTTATATTAATTATAAATTAAAATATAATTTTATTAGTTGATAAGTATATAAAATTTTCAGAATTATTATGTCTCATAAGAGATAGTAAACATAAACATTTCTATATTGTGTTAAATAATGCTTAATTTGTGAAGTAAGTTTCAAATCAAGAAAAATTTTAAATTTCTCTTTTTTTATATCTAATATTTTTATGAATATATTCTATTATTCATATATTTGAAGATGTAATTGTATAGCTAAAAGTGTATGTTTACTTATTTCACATAATTGCATATATGTAAGTTTACATAATGGCAAAGATGTATTAAAATTATATTTGTAAAAATATCATTGTGGTTTTTTTTCATTATTTCTTTAATTGGTAATTTTAAAAGACATTAATTGAGATTTTAAAAACAAATCTATTTCTTTTAAAAAAATGTTTAAAGCCTACTTTTCAAAACAAGTTCTTAAATAATTTTGTTTTAAAGTTCTAAAATATGTATAATTATCACTTTGTTTAAAAAATATCATTAATTCATGTATTGTATTTAAAACTAATTTATTTTCTTCATATTCTTTTAAACCTAATTCAATTAAATTATAAATAGGTATAATTGAATTAATAAACATTTGAAAATCAGAATCAGAAGATATTGTAAAATCAGAAAAAAACATTTTTTTTAAAAAAAAAAGTAAATGAAAATTATATAGAAATTTGATGTTTTTAAAAAAATGCTTTTAATAATATTAAAAAAATTTGATTTTAAATTATTATGATTTTAAAAAATTATTTATTGAAAAATTATTTTAAAATTATATAATTTATAGAAAATTCTTTTAATCCAAAAATAATTTTCCATAAAAAAGAATTATTAAAAATAAATATTTTTATTTAAAATACTTTATTTTATTAAAAAAAAAATTATTAAAAAGAATTTATTCTTTTAAAATTATAAAATTATTAAAAGATTTTTTAAAAATATTATTTTTTATTATATTCTTAGAAACTATTAAAAAAAAAGATTAAAATAAATTTTTTAATAATTAATTTTCTTTTAAAAATCGATAGAAAAAAGATTTTTTTATTAAATATCTTTTAATAATTTTTATAATAAAAAATCTCAAGTGGTATAAAATTGATTTCAAGTTTTACAAAAATTATTCCTGTAAAATAATTTTAAATAATAAATTTAGTTTCATCATAATAATTAATTCGACTTAATATTTAAAAATAGAACAATTTATTATTGGTTGAAAATGTTTACTGTGGTATAGCATTTTTAATCATCATTTACTAAAATCAATTTCTTATCCTGTGATTTTAATAGCTTAGTCCCCATATGATTTATTATGTTCGTAACTCGATTTTAATAGCAAACCTCCTATATGTTAATTTTCTGAAAAATTACAGGATTTCTTTATGGTGCTTGAATTTCCTATCAATGAGAAACCTACTACAATAACGAAAGAATCCAGAACATAAAAATAAATGAATTTTTTATTAATTAGAGAAGCTCTGAATTCAGTGACATATGTATTCTAAATAGGTCATGAAATACTCTAATGAAACCCGACTATTAATCTAAGGATGTCCTTGAATAATTGACGCATTAAGAATAAACATGGGTTTTTTCAGCAATAATAATTTGATTCATTTTTTTAGCGAACAGTGTGCATACTCTTCAATAAATACAATTACTTCAAAATGCAAATAAAAATTATAGAACAACAAAATGAATTAATTACGCAAGAACACCAAACAAAATATTTATTAAACAGCTATTCAAAATACTACCTTACAATAATTTTCAAAAAGTTGCTTTAAAGTGATATTTTGAACAATTAAATAAAGCATAATGCATTATAAAACATTTTACGATTTAGTTGTAGTTCTCATGGATTTATTAATGTGATAATAAAATATCAAGCATTATATTTAATAGCACAGCTGTTCTGTAATCAAAATTAATCCAAGAAAAAAATGCAATGCGTGATCAACCTTATATAATTTCAAAAAATCATATTAAAACGGATAAAGTCACCTAAGTATCTTAACTTAATAATCTTTTATTTTGAAAATAAAATATCTAATTCTCGTTACCATTTCAACTTCAATGAGTTGCTTCAAAGTTTCTTTCACAAATGTAGCTATTGTACCCCAAATGCGTTAATGTCCGAAATGCGCATTTAGGATATCCCAAATTGGAATGCACAATTGGGATATCCCAAATGTGAAGATTGTTTGGGATATTCGCTTACCCCAATTGCGCATTTATCCCAAATGCGCATTTCGGATATCTTAAATACACATTTTGGATATTTCAAATGCGCATTTCGGGTATATCCCAAATGCACATTTCGGATATCCAAATGCTAATATAAAGTTTATTTACATTTTTATTTACAATTAAATAAAAATTTTAAAAATATAAATATTAAATATAAATAAAATTTAAATTACAAGTCTGTCATTTAATAAACTCAAATAAATTGTGGTCATTTAGACAGTCCGAAATGAGTCTGAATTGGTCTTTTAGAATATCCTAAATGCTCATTTGTAATATCCAAAAGAGCATTTGGGACATTATCTGAAATGCGCATTTGGAACATTATCCGAAATGCGCATTTGGGGACGGACAGCGAATATCCCAAACGATCTTCGTATTTGGGATATCCCAATTGCGCATTTCGGACATCAACGCATTTGGGATACAACATAGCTATATATATTAATTTATAGTTATTTTTATAAAAACTCAATTTGTTATTTATCCGTAATATCACAAAACCAAATTTGTCATACTTGTGAGCGCGATAATGATATTTATTAATGTTTATTACATATAATTTGCATGAAGCATGAAAATACATACATTTTGATGCATTTCGTAGGTGATTAAATATAATAATTAATTTCATCACCACTGAAATGTTTCGAGTGAAGTAATAACTATATAAATATATATATTGGTATTTTTTTTCTAATAATATAAATAAACTCGATTTCAAGATATATTGACTTAAGTAGAGATTGGAACTGGTTTTATTTTCATTTATTATATCCAGATTTATTGTTGCTGGATAAGCTAGTATTAAAATAATACGTCGTTTAATTTCAGTTTTTGAGTACAAATAACTCATTAGCGCAATTAAATGAATTAAAATATGTTAGCATTGCTTAGAATCAAGTAATTTCAATGTTAATTATTGATGAATTTCAAACTACCAATTTATTTTTTTATTATCATGTCGTCGCACATAAAATTAAATTATAGAACAATTAAATTTTGATTTTATTGTATTTTCCTTATTTGATAATTATTAGATAATTATTTGATAATAGCTTAGCTAAATTTATTATATCATATATCTGAATGTTTAAATGAATCCATCGGTTTTAAATCTGAATTTTTCAATGGATTGAAAAATCAAAATCTTAAGTTTAGATACTATATAGTTTTTTTTGGTATCTCGAAACGCCCGCAACCTTAGTTTGTTTACATCGTTATTTTGTAGGAATATCCATTATATTTTGTTTACTTCAATAGCAAAATGTCACTTTTTTTTAATCCCAGACAATTTTCACGATATTCTCATTCTCATTATTTTTTATTTTATTTTGTAGCGGTTTTAATTAGCAATTTAGTGATATAATTTAATTGACTTAATAAAATTGAATTTCGGAAGTATTAATATTTGTTTATGAAAGAACATACAATAATATCTTAAAAATTTAAAAAATGTAACTTTGGCCACATAAATTAATCTATTAATTTTCTGAAATTTTAAATTCGAGATTACAAGAGCATCTACTAAAAAGGATTTCTTCTCTTATTGGAAAAACTATATTTTGATAAATCTTCAGTTCCCGATATTTAAGCCACGATCACTTTCTATCCACATGCAGTAATCTCGTGACTTGATTTTAACTTATCGGATATGTTCCTGCATGTGTGATTCTGAGAAGATTAAAAAATCGATGCAAGTAAATTTAATAAAAATCTATATTTATTTATATTTACTGTATTTAATTTTTTTTCTTTTTATAGATGTGAAATACTGTAAATATTGATTTTGTAAAAAGGTTTGTAAACTAAGCTTAGTGTTTTTTTTTAGTTTTTTTAAAATAAAAATAAAAATATAAATAAAAATCCAGGCGTGGCCAAAATTATAGTATCTAAACCAGCGTCTTTTACAATTAAGTTGACCAAATTTTAGTTATATGAAAATATGATTAAAAATTTTTGATATTGAAATGACGAGAAAAATCGATAGATATTAAAGCTATAATTTAAATAAAATAAAATTATGAACTGTAAACAAAATAAATATTTATTAGTCATCGAAAAATCATTTTATATTTTAATATCCGTTAATTCTATCAAATTTTCCATTTCCTTCTTTGAAAAATACTTGTCGTTAAATACTTTTGGAACATTTGGGTGAAATTTATAGATTTGTAAGGGATCTTCTTTTTTAGGAATATATATAATCTATTTGCTTTAAAATTTAAATCCATTAACAAATCATTAACAATTTTCTCATAATTTCAGTTAAAACTTACCATAATAATAGATTTATTTTTTAAGTCAATCGAAGGTTGCACCCATTTATTTACTTCAAATGGAAGTGTATATTCAATCCAGCCCAATCCAACAAGTTCTGATACATCTTCATGTGTTAAAATTAATTCATGACATATGATACGATCACTATATATCTATATAATAAATCATACATATCAATTAACACCGGTAAACAAGTTTTTATTTTTCTTTTTTTTTGCACATAATATATGACTTACATCAAGTATTTCAACAATAAACTTCACATAACAATTCTTGGTTAATAACTTTTCTACATTTATTTTCCAAGTAACGTAACATGAAGTTAATTTACTATTACTGCAGAGTTTGGGCAAAATAATGATAGGAAATACTTCATTTTCATAAGATAACACTTGTGCAGACAAACTTAGAATTTTACTTAAAGTTAGTTAGTATTAAATTAAGATTATAAATAATATATAGAAGCTCACCTATATGAATCAACCTTTTTAAACCGAAGAAATTCACTTTTCAAATTTGTAAAGTTTGAAATAAAATACAAACTTTTTCTGCACAAGATAATTCATTTATTTAAAAGTAAATTAGGTAGGTATAAAAAAGTAAAAAAATATAAATATTATTCTTACCTTTATACATAAGTTTATGAAATTCATTAATTATTCCAAGTTCAATAAAATCGTTATCACTAATTTTAAAATAGTCAGATAAAAATGACCATAATTTTGTATCTGAATATTCTTGCATTAAATAATTATTTAAAATATTTCCGCTAATAAACGAATCATCAAATAAAAGATTTAAATAATATAACAGAAATTTCGCTAAATGATCACCAGAATTGAAAAATGATATACATCGTTTTACTTCAATTTTAGTTTTTTCATCGTTTCCTAATGCATAATATATTAGTCCTTTATAAAAATATGCAAGACTATTTGAAGAATCTAATTGGATCAATTCATTAAGTTCTGATAGAGCGTTTTCATATTCTCGAAGTTCATAATGAGTAATAGCTTTGTTAAATAAAATATGAGTATTCTCAGGATCAATGTGATAGGCTCTTGAGAAATGCGATATTGAATCATTATATTTTTCTAGATAATTAAGAATTTCTCCATAATAACATAGTATTAATGAATCAAGTTGATTTATTTCCAGTAATTTATCTAACATTTCTAATGCCTCCAAATATCTTCCTTGAATTTTATAAATATGTGCACAGTACTTCAAACATAAATAATTTTTCGAATCCTTTTGTAATGCTAACTTATAACTTCTTAAAGCATTATCATAATTATCTTCCTTATCATAGATTACATTTTCTGCTTTAGAATAATAACTATTACCTAACAATATCATTGATTTATTATGATTTTTTGATCTTTCTAACACCTGTATCGCATTTTCATAATAACCTTGTCTGAAAAGTATTTCTCCACGAATAAAATACGCAATTGGATTGTTTTCCTTTAATTTAATAGCATCTTCTAGATATGATAGCGCTTGCTCATAGTTGTTAATGCATCTATAAGCATAAGCTAAAATGCATTTCATAGTGTAACTTTTATGATTAGCTTTTACATATTCTTGACACATTGATATAGCACTTTCATAATTTTTCTCCGTTAATTCTTTTATAACATACTGATAAGCTGGACGTTGTTTTTTAGGTCGTAATTTATTTGAATTCAAATTTAGTTCTTTATGTTTCGTTTTTTTAATTAATATATGGTCAACTTCTGAATTATCACAATCATCCTCATGTTGATTATTCTCTGAATGTTTCAGTTCAATTGAAGGCAGAACATGTCCAGCAGAAATAAGGTGCGAATATAGGTTTTTGTATATAGTTTTTGTAATAAGGATCTGATATCTTCATGTTCAATCTTATCTCGACAAATAGGACATTCTTTTGTTTCAAGTTGGTTTATATTAATTAAACAAACCAAGTGTTGACATTTCAAACACATAAATGACCTTCTGGCTCTTGACTAATACTACAAGTCATTCCATTTACAATAGCATCTAAAATATTAAAAGGATCCGATGTTTGTTCTTGTTTAAAATATGTATTCTGTTCAAAAATTGTTCCTTTACCATTTCCAATATCATTATTTAGCATAATTAAGTCTTCATGACATTTTTCTTTAACAAATGCTAATAAATTTTGAAATTTTTCTGAAGAATCTGATGAATTATTATTATCATACAATTTTTGAGCATATTCGTCAAAATCAAGTTTTACAATTGAAAATGATTCGTTGATATTTTGTAAATATAATAATATTTCAATTGCTTTAAATTGAATAAAAGAGTTTGGAGCTTTATTGAGTGACTTAATTGCTAGATAATAACAAAGACCATAAATAGCTGGTTGATTAAATTTTTTGATGAGATTTTGTGCGAGATCCAACATTCCAAACCATAACATATCTGGTAATGCGAATGGTTCATTTCCGGCAAGGTCATTTAAAAAGCTTCCTGTGTTTCTTAAGGCCTTGACGAGTTTATTTGATACTTCATCAAGTTTAGTTTGAGAATCTAATATAGTTTTATCAACAAAATTATTCCACTCTCTCTCTGAATAAATCCAAAGATATTCCATTAATATCCTTTCTCCAAACTTTCTACCAATTATATTTTCATCACTTTCAGACCAAATAAAAAGGTTATGTTGAATTATCAACATAATTCTCCAATCTACATAATAAGTCGCTACTGGATATTTAAAACTTAAACCTTGGCGTATTCGGGTAAGCATTGATAAGATTGAACAATTATCATTTGGAAGAGCAACCCCGGGTGCTACAATACTTGTAATTCCTGGTGCAATATTTAGAACAGTCTTCAACAACTCCTTAGTTCTTCTTAAAATTTCCTGATACCAGGTTTCATCATCACGCAGACTATGTAGTGTATCACGCAAGTGAATCAATAAAAAGTCAATATTATAATTATGCTTTTTAATTCTTTCGCTATCTTCATCATATTGTTGATTGGATGGATTGAACTTTGACCTGAGACTATCAAATCCTTCCTCAATAACTTGTATATTTTTGCGATGAAATTCAGCAAATTTTGCTAGGGAATTGTAAATTTTATCTCGAAGTTCCTTAATAAGTACTATTTCTGAAAAGCATATCTGTTCCAAAGATGCTGCCCAAGCTCGTAAATGAAATTCCAATCTTGTTATGATCTCTTTTGAATGATGGTCAAACAGTGAATGATTGGCTAAATTTCTTATTGAATCTGTTAAAGTTTGTGATGAAAATTTATTTTGATGGTTTTCGAAAAGTAATTTAAAGCGTATAAGGCCTTTGTCTCAGTTAACCTCGTTATAAGTTCCTTTGCTTTAGCATCTGGTGTGGTATAACCCTCCTTTTCTAATCTTAGAAGGATATGATTGGATTCAGTTTTAGATGAAACGGAGATATTCAAGTTATTTAGCGAAGGTTCAGGTTTCTTTCTAGAACTTTTAATCTATTTATTATTTAATAATTAGTAAATTTTATATTTACTAATATTTGAGTTTTGAAAATTTATTTACCTGGCTTGGACTTCCTTTCAATTTTATTTATTTATGTATAACGATCACAACAGATTTCTTGACTTTTATTTGAAAGAATTGATAGGCATAACACATGAAATAAAAATTTGTTTTGTTAATAAAACAATGGTTTAAACCATTAAATTTAGCAAGGATCAGTCAAGTCCCTTGTACAGAAAAATTTTGTAATACATTTTTTTTTCAAAAACGGCAATCGGCGTTAAATGTTTTGCAAATACTAAATATTTACATCACAAAGAATACAAATTTCGGATGCTTAAATAATAATAAATTCTTCTCTCTTGAAATCGTAACTTTAATAGAAGTGTAACGTAATTTTGACGGAGCGAAATTTAACCAAACCAGAACATATATTTTCTCGACTTAAGGAATTTTAAAATAAAGTATAAAGTGACTCGGACTTTTGTTTATAATGAATAAAAAAAATTTTTATTTCAATAAAACTTTACAGAAATCATAAAGTTTGATATAAAAGTCTGGACAAATATATTTTACTATAACTTTGCAAACATGCGCAAATCACGTGATAAAACATTCATTTGGATTTGGTAAACGGGATATTTTGCTAGTAAAATTTAATAATAAGGAATATGTTCTTCATTTTTCTCAATAGGATGATAGTAGCCATTTCATACTCGACGATTGGGCACAGCAGAATGTGATAAAAATTCGTCTGCGTGACATCTGGGGCACAAAAGTGTGGCGGGATGTCTTTGTTTGAGAATCTAACTTGGGTAGCATTTCAAATAATCTTTGGTATTTCTTATGTCTTACTATGGAGGCGATGTAGAAAGTGCAGCAAGCTGCAATGTTGTCTTTTAATGGGACCAAGACAGACCATAGTATTTAAGGAAGCTGGTTTGGGTAAATAATTAATATTGTTAGAAGAAAACACATAGTTGACAGAGTGTGTTCTTTTTTCAGGTCTGTTCATAGTGATATTATCAGCTTTCTCAATGTTGAATTGTATATGATAATGATCTTTCCAAATATTTTAAGTGAGTCGAATTTTTGGTATTATAGTGGTCAAGCCCTCTTCTATTTCTTTACTTTTTGTTTCCTGAAAAGTGATTTACTTAATTCAGGTTAGATTTTGAGTGCAGGGTCAGTTTTCTATAAAATAGTTATAGATTGTTTTGTATGAGATTTTCATAATTTTTTTTAATTTGTATTTTATCTCAAATAAAGATCTTATAAAACTTCTACATTTTAAAAAAAAATATTTTATAAAAGTAAACAAATACAATGATATATAATATATAAATACATATTTTTACTTTATATTACTTTTTTACTTTTTTTTACTATAATTTTTTACATTCTATTTATTTATTACATTATTTGCAATTTATTATATATTAGAAAATAAAAATAATAATTCAATTATTAATGATAAAAAAGGTAAGAAATCTATTTAAACTTTTAATATTTTTTTTGTTATATTAATTAGAACTCATTTTAATAATCTTAAAATTAAGCAATACTGCAAAAAAAATTAAAAATTAGAAAAAAATTCATATTTTTAATTTTAATATTAATTATTTTAATTTTAATTTTAATATTTTATTTTATTTTATTTTTATTTTTTTAATATAATTATTATTTTATTTTATAAATTTATTCTTTATTTTTATCTTTATTTTTTTTAATAAATAAATATTTTAACAGGCTTGTAATCTTATATAAAATTTAAGATACTAGATTTATATAATACTTCACATTATTAAATTTACTGATATAAGTTAAATTATTTGCTTCATAAAGAAGAATAAATAAACTACTTATTAAATTTATATATTGGATAAATTTGAATATCTAAAGAGAAAATATTATTTAAATAGCCTATACCATCACTATTTATAAAATCTTTTTAAATTTTAATATAGAATATATATAGATTTTAGAAAATATTATTAAATTGCAAATGAAAAAATTTTAGTAGTTTTATAATATGTTAAATAATTTAATTAAAAAGATTTAAAAATGTAAATATTTGATTTTTTTTATTATTTTTTATTTTTTAACTATCTCTTAAATTGTAAATATAAAATTATTTTCAAAATATTTTAAAAAACTTAAAATATTTTAATATCTAATAATTATAAAAAGATAAAATAAAATTTTTAGATTTATCATATTATGATGTATCTAATGATAATATTTTTAAACTTTTGAAATTAATAATTATTAATATATATTAAAATTTCAATTTTTTAAAAATAATTTATTACTAATAATTAAAAAAATATAAAATTTAGTTTATTGGATTCATTACATTAAGACCTATTAAATGGTAATATTTTTATATTTTTGAGATTGATAGATAACAAGATACGAGTTTAAAATTTTAATTTTTTTTATAATAATTTATTATTTATTTATCTTTAAGAAATAACTAGTTAATTACATTTTTTTTTTGATTTTTACTTAGAAAACATCATAAAATTTATTATAAAGTATTAATTTTTTAATAATATATTTTAAAATATTTAAAAATAATTAAAAAGAATTGTGATTAAAAATAAAATTGTCTACAAATTTATAGGCAAAACAGTTTAAGGGATAATAAAATAATAATAAAGTTAATTAATAAGAAGGAAAAATATTTATTTATCTAGCAAAAGAAATTATAATATTAACATATTTTTTTTAATAAAAAAAGTATTATATAAATAATTAAGGATTTATCAAAATTTTTAAAATTAATTACCAATAATTAGAATATAAATAATAAAATTCATAAAATTTTAAGAATTTATTTATTATAACTTTAAAGTATTATATATCGTAAACTTATTATACATTGTAAACCTTAAAATATTATATATAAAAAATCTTTGAATTATTATATATCATAAACTTTAAAGAATTACATATCATAAACTTAAAAGAATTATATATTGTAAATTTTTGAATTACTATTTATCATAAACTTCAAAGTATTATACATCATAACTTATAAATTATATATATTATAATTTTAAATTATTATGTATCATAATATATAGAAGTATTATATTTATATAAATATTTTGATAAGTTCATAATTTACATAAAATTATAAGATATAAAATTTATATAATATTTTGTATTATTATATTTACTAATACAGCTAGAATTAGTAAAATCCTAATTGATTTTAATTATTTCTAAAGATTTAAAAAGAATTTTATTATGAAACTATAAAAAAGAATTATATAAATCAGTTACTTATGTAATTTTAAATCTTATAATAAAAAAAAGAAATTATGCATAAATTTAATATTTAAAAAGAATAATAAGTAATATTATTATTAATTTATTAAAAATTTACTTAATATATTGATAATATATAAATGTATATAAGTATATATAAAAGAAGATACAAAAAGAAACTATCTAAAGCTAAGAAGAATTTTAATGTAAATTAGATATAGGATAAGTAAACTTATATTTTCTATTTGCATTACTAATATTACAAAATGAGATGATACTTTTTCTATATTTAGTCCTTAAGTTTAGAAAATGAATTCATTAATTAGCAGATTTATCACTTAACATTAGTCAAAATCAAAAAAATTGGACGTGCAAAAATCGTCTAAAATCAGCCTAAAATCAACCTAAATTTAATAAATTATCAAAAATCAGCTTAACTGATTGGCATACATTAGAAATCAGTCAAGAATCAGTCAAAATTTAACCCATTTTATTTATAACCGATTAGCATACTTATAGCCAATTAGAATATATCAAAATTTGACCTATTTTATTTATAATTGATTGACATCTGATTGGAATAATTATATTGTTTCTTAGATACAATAGGTACAGTCTCCAGTGAAAAGAATAGTGGTGGAAGACCGCATCTATTTTTGGCTGCGGTTTCACCACTTTCTGGATTTAGGCATTTGTTTATATGCTCAAATCGGACATTGGAACCTGAATTAAAAAGGTAAGTTAAAAAAATAAGGTTTGTTATTTGTTTTTATTTTGATTTC